TTAGCACGGAGCCGACAGCAGCATCAGATTCGCGCCGCTCCTCCAGATCCCGGATTTCCTGCACATCAGCGGCAGTGAAGACGTTGGGCACAACGGAGTGCAGAACCTGGGCATGTGCCACTAGCTTCTCGGTGCTGGACGGAGCGGTCACGGTGTACGTGGTTCTCTCCATCTCCTTGCCAGCCGCATCCGTGTACATTGTCTTCTCGCGCATCGACTTCAGTCCGATCTTCCTGAGTTCGGTCCTGGCCTCCGCCACCTGGTTTTCGCTGAGCTCGGCCGCCTCGTCATCGTTGATGTCGATCCTCGTCCGAATCTCCTCCGTCACTGCAACAGCATTTTAAACCGGGCAAATTAACAATAGCGTGAGACCAGAAGTCAAGGCGTGCATTGCGATGACTGTGCCGCCATGGGGTGACCAGAAGACAGCATACAGCATACAGCGTATTGTAATAGTGTTAGATGGGTATACAATGTTGTTTGGTTGACAGCATGTTACAAGGCGGAGGATGCACTGTGTTTGAAAACAGTGCTCCTTACTACAACCTCCTCGGTTGGCAGAGCACCGGTTTAGCGCCAGACCACTAATTTAGAACCGTAACTTGGGGGGGGGGGGGGGGTAGCCTTGGACCAAGGAAATATAAGTTACGCCATACTGTCTTGGCACTCCCTCCCACTATTGTGTTGCAGTGCACATACAATGTTATTATGTACCTAAGGGCAGAGGAGAAGCAAAACAAAAGCAAAACAATTACTGACTCACCCTTGCCAAATGATACCGGCAGTGTAGCGACCATAGCGAGCAAGGTCACAGCAAGAAGGAGTCGCGTCATGGCTTCCATGGTGATAGGTCGATGGGACCGAGACTCTCCAACCAAGCCAAGATCTGAATAGTTGTTGCTAACAAGCTAGAGCCAGCGGGTGAGCAAGAGACGTTGTAGAAGGCGAGTAGAATGTGAGAAGTGAGGAGAATTCGCTGGGAAATCAGGTTATATACTCGTCGAGTCTACTTACTCGTGTCTGGGTCACCACTGGTTACCGAGGTCTCTAGCCCAGCTGACAACTACATGACACATACATTGTGGATACAGCAGCTAGTGTGCAGAATGCGATGCCGCCATTATCCTGTTGTGGAATGGAAGCGCACAGTGTGTTTCCGACTCCTTACTACCTTAGCTGTCATCATGGAGCTGTACTCAAACCAGTACTAGGTTTGGGACAATTGGGTACGACGTGCAGAGATTTGGTTATGTTCCAGTAGCTATGCTGGTCACATGACATGTGTCAACAGACTGACACACTGTTGATGACAGGCGGCATGGCTGTTTTTGTAGTAAGAGAAAACCAGGGGCAGGGAGTCGTCAAATCCAACAATCTACCGGTATTTGACGTCTCCCTGGGCCTGGCTTCATTCGACAAGACAACCAATGCATGCGCCATGGCCATGAGGCAGCATGGAAGCCAACGAACTCAAGGCCTGGGGCCTAGGGGCAAGGGCATGTCAGTGACCATGTCCATGCCACGGTTATATCTTGGCTGTTGCAGTGTTGGTCAATGCAGCACACTAAGTAAGTTACTGTCGAGTACCACAGAGGTACATTTATTTTGACCACAGAGGAACAGATTACATGTATTCAGTACGGTCATCACGGAAACTGGTCACCAAACCGGTTCAAAGGCACTGTGAGATACAATGTACCGTACATCTATTTATATGTACATGAACGTGGTGCATTGCGTGCATGCATGTCCAGTTTAGGACACAGCCACTTTCCTGCTGACTTGACTGCTTACTGTCTGCATCACAATCAGTGCTTGCTTCCTCAGAAAGTGAGCCAAGGAAAATATTTTAAATGGAAACCAGGAAACGGTGGGGCACGGGTTATGCGTTACACTTAGAGTCCACCAACTAAACAAGATTTTGAACAGTGAGACGTGCACAAGGTGGGGATGGTACCAATAGTATCCATGAACCTTCCAAGTATACCGTACTGGCAATATATGTTGCCGCGTAACGCGTAACGCAGGGGGTGCGGCGTAACGCGCGACCAGGCTAGTGCGACAAATTTTCGTTGAGTTCGTAACGCGCGTCCGGCGGGGTGCGGCGATCTTTTCATTGCAGTTTGCACTGCAAAAAAAAGGCTGAAAACTGTGAAAGCACGTGTACCGCGTGGTGAAAAGTTCAAAACTGGACGCAGCAGGAAGTCCTGACCCTCGAAGGCGCATCATTCAGTGGTTGGTGATCTCAATGGTTTCTTCTTTCCCGAGGTCGTTTTGCGATGTGTTTACCAGTTTCCTTGTGACAATGCAGAAGTCTCTATTCGCCTTCGGCGTGAAGAAAATCACGCCCAAGCATCATTCAGTGGTTGGCGATCTCAATGGTTTCTTCTTTCCCGAGGTCGTTTTGCGAAGAAGAGCGATGTGTTTACCAGCAAAAAAAAGGACTGCGGCAATATAGAAACCTGTGTAACGGCTTCTGTGCGACTTTGCATGTAACGCCCTGCGTGCGGCAAACATGTGCCAATGTAACGCTTCATGGCCTCACTGCGGCAACATATATTGCCAGTACGGTAGTTGGAAGGCCGTTGGTTAGCGCTATCGAGCAGTGCTCAAGCTCGCTTCCTTGCCGTGGAATGTCTCAGTACTCCTTGTCCGTCTGGTGCTACCTTGTGCATGTCTGACTTTTCAAAACCTGGTGTATATTTGGTGTACTCTAACGCATAACTTCTGCCTCACCGTTTTAGTTGTTTCCATTGCTAAACTATTTCAACGAAGTAAAATGTACTAGGATGGAGAGGCAAGGGTAATTTTAAAGAAAAGAAAAGGACCGAGGACCTATTAGTTACGCTATACTGTCTAACACTAACACCACCAGTTACTAAACAGTCAGCGCATGCGATAACATTGCAGGGCACTGACCGACGGTACTGGCGTTCTACGACTAGCTGGCTATCAGCTCTAGCACATCTTGGATGTGCACTCCAACAGTGTTCCAACTAATTACTTGGAAGGTTCTAAGTTATACATGTATGATGCCGTAGGAGGGGAAGGTGAGCGCAACGAGCTGATAGCCAGTTAGTTGTAGAACGTCAATACCGTCGGTCAGTGTCCTGCAATGTTATCGCATGAGCTGATTGTTTAGTAACTGGTGGTGTCAGTGTACATTATAGAGTAGCTATGGGCGCGCCTGGTTGTGATGAAGCCGAGACCCAAGGTCGGCAGAGCATCCCAGACCACGCCACCACTCCCCTTATTCATGGCTCACACATGACGGGTTTACGTGGCTCTAGCAAAAAAAAAAAAAAAGCCCTTGGCGGATTATGCCGGCATAATATTTGGCATAATCTTGGGATTTCGTCAAACAATTATTCTCCGGTATAATATACGGATTCCAACGTGCAAGGTCGGCATAATCTTTCGGTTTAGACAAAAATTATGCTTAGGGCATGGCCGTGTGTGTATGCGTGGTTTCTCAATCCTCTATGTACAGCGTGAATACATAATGGAACCGAGCATAATTCAGCATAATTCAGCATATTTGTTGGCATAATTGTGGCATAATCAAAAGCATAATTTGACGATTGGCCGAGCATAGTCCGCCAATGGCTATTATAGAGTTACTTGTCCTTTTCTTGTCTATAAACTACAATGTCATTTTTACTCTTTGAGAGTAACGCGTTAGCTAACGCATGAAGCACCGAGCATGCGCGTGTGATGCAGACAGCAAACAGACCTACTTGACTACCTCACATCCTTTGGCCACAGTGCTGCCATAAAGCCTCTTTTGCGGTCAAACAAAACACAATTTAATCAGCCCTTCGCGGATTATGCTGGCATACTGTCTGCCATAATCTTCGGATTCTGTCTAAAAAGGATGCCCTGGCATAAAAGGACCTCTGACTCTGAAACCAGACGGTCGGCATAACCTTGCGATGCTGGCTGAAGTAGGCATAAATACAGGAAATAACCTGGTAAATGCTACCCCTTATGCTATGCTGTCATGGTAACCAGAGTCATTGTAACGTTGCAAAGTGTGCAAACTGGGTATAACTGCTAGTATAGCACCATCATTGGCAGAATTCCAGCATAATGTAGCATAATCACTGGCATAATTTGGGCATAATGGAAAGCATAATTCAGCCATTTACCAAGCATAATCCGCCAAGGACTGTTTGTACTGAGTTCACCATACCATTAGATTTGACCGCAGCATAGTATAGCACCATCATTGGCATAATTCCAGCAAAATGTAGCATCATGTAATCACTGGCATAATTTGGGCATAATGGAAAGCATAATTCAGCAATTATTTACCGAGCATAATCCGCCAAGGGCTAAACACAATGCCATGTAGCTCTTGCTGCAGCGCTGTGTCGGTTCCGACAGTCAGGAACAGGGAGTCGTAAAAGCCCAGGGTGTTTACCATGGTTTACCATGTTTACGACTCCCCGGTCATGAAAGAAAAGACAGTGTCATTGACTCATTAGACCGACGTACCAGCACATGATGGAAATAATAATTATTATTAATTTGTCATGGTGACGAAGCAACCGAAAAGAGAAGTATTACGGAGGATTAGCAAGACGAAATTCGCGTTCGCGTTCGCTCTCCAAAGAAAGTCGAACTCAGTGACGGAATTCGCGTTATGAGAAGGATTAGCAAACAGAATTCGCACATGCATGATGTTGACACGACGTAGGCAGTACAGCGTGGTAAATTTATGACTGCCCTGACACGAATCCACGATTCGTGTTCCGACTACTTTTCCGAACGAAAAATGCGAAAGTTCGCAATCCAGTTCGCGAACTGAAAAATGTTTGCGAACGCGAACGCGAATTTCGTCTTGCTAATCCTCCGAAATAATTAGTTAGTGAAGACTAGACTGGACAGTGGAAACATGGAACCATAGTCCATAGGCCATATAGGCTCGAGAGTGCTAGCACAGTAGCAGCATGCTAGTCCGGAGCCTGGTCAGTGGTGGCGGTGCACCAGTGCCAGTGGTGCACCGCGTAGATCTACCGGTGGCCGGCGTGGCGGTGGTGAAGCGCAGACGTTGATCATTATTCATGGTGATGCCGCTGCTAAAACTATACTTGATTGATTGGCATCGTCAATAAAAATAGAGCAGCCGTTCTACTTCTACTAGCCTTCGGAGATTATTCCCTCACTTTCTGAGTTCCTCTCACTCATCTCCCAAAGTTGAAAACCATTCATTAGAATGAGTAGACTGCTGCACAGGTCATTGCTGACTTACACCGGTCGATTGCTGTCAGTGCTGCATGTTATTCATGCTCTCATCATTGGGCTTGCACTGGTCTACGTGGCCGAATGCGACCAGAGACCGAACATCGTGTTCATTCTGACCGACGACCAGGATGTGACGCTGGGTGGGCTGGAGCCCATGGTCAAGCTGAACCGACTCGTCAGGGAGCAAGGCGTGTTCTTTGACAACGCGTTCGTGCATACACCTATTTGCTGTCCCAGTCGCTCAAGCTACCTGACAGGTAAGGCACACACGCAATAGTGCCGGGAATGAACATTATCACGTTTACCTACATGATGACCTTGTAGGTCAGGGGGTAGACAGTAGATCTACATGTTACGAAGAACTTCTCACATACTTCGGAGTAATATTTTCTCGAACTATGGCGAGTCGTTTGATCTAGTGCCCGCTGAAGAGCACCGAAGTCATCGTCTAAGTGCATAGGTAGATGGGTGAGGGAGGGAAGGGGTTCTTCTATCATTCATGGGCCATTGGCATTAATGTATCGGAAAAAGCCCCTGTCCTGCAATGCCGCATGGCCGTGTTCATGATTGTCGCAATGAATACCTACATTCTGCACAATCCGCAGAGTGCCGCCACGTGGCCGTCTAGCTTTTTTGTTTCACTCTTTCTGATTCAATGGATGCGATTTTTGTGTCGATGCTGAACTGAATTGCTCACACGGCGCACAGGTAAATACATCCACAACCACGGCGCAGTGAACAACAGCCTGGAAGGCAACTGTGCATCCCTAGCCTGGCAGCAGGGCAGTGAGCTATACACGTTTGCCAGCAGCCTGCAAGGGTCACACTACCAGAAAGGCTACTTTGGCAAGTATCTGAACAGCTACGGGACGAAACAAGCGCCGGGCGGACCCCAGCACATACCGCGTGGCTGGGACACATGGTTTGGACTCGTAGGCAACTCCAAGTACTATAATTACAGTGTCAGCAACAATGGTGTGCTGGAAGAGCATGGGCAGGACTACGGTGCGGACTACTTCACCGACATGATCAAGAACAAATCGGTGGAGTTCATCAAGGACAGTCGTGCCAACAAGCCCATCTGGCCATTCCTACTTGTGGCTGCCACTCCGGCACCACATGCACCCTTCACACCTGCACCACAGTATGAACACGTGTTTGATGGTCACACGGCGCCTCGAACACCAAACTGGAACCATCATAGCGATGATAAACACTGGTTGATGCGAGAGCAAGTGCCGATGACAGATCGAGTAAGTTCCTTCATCCTTGAGAGCATTTCTGTGTTTGTAGTTAAGACTAGTGCCATGGTAATAGGCAAAATGAAGGCCGGATTTGTTGTCATATTCCACCTGATCGTCCATGCACAGACCGAAACTCTCTGACAATGTATCTGTGTGTCTGCCTGTATGTCTGTCTGTCTGCACACACAAAAGACACAAATGAGGCTTGCAGAGTTTATCGCAGCTCCAAGTTTCTTGCTCAATGCAATCATCTGCCTGCCTGTCTACACCGGCAACAGGAGCAAGACTAGACTGATTGACAATCATCTGCCTGCCTGTCTACACCGGCAACAGGAGCAAGACTAGACTGATTGACACTGATATACTGCCTGTCTACACCGGCAACAGGAGCAAGACTACACACTGATATACTTTTAAAACATTTCCACAGTGTCTTCTTCAGAATAGAATAACGACACTCGTCTAAACATTCAATTTTGTCAATATCAATCAGTCTTAGTCTAGATCTTAGTCTAGACTTGCTCCTGTTGTGTGGTCCGACTATCCTCCGTTGCTCTTTATGAATCCCTTGGCTGAACCTGTGCCGGTGTGGCATCGTGTGGATATCGAGCTTTTGCTGAACTGTATGGTATGTCTGAATGTACATGTATGTCTGTCCCCTCGCTGCCCCCTACCCTGCCCCCCCCCTCTCTCTCTCTCTCTCTCACACACACACACACACACACACACACACACACACACACACACACACACACACACACACACACACACGCAAATTAATTTGTGTGGGCAATATTTACTTAAATTCATTTCAATCTGTGGAGCAGTACTCAGCAGTACTCATTCTCACATGTCAAGTATGACTCATTGTTTATGGTGTTTTGATCTGTTTACCCGTGACCATGGTGACCATGGTGACCAGGGAATCAACGCATCGGATGAGATCTTTCAGCATCGCTGGGAAACACTCTTGTCTGTCGATGACCTTGTCGAGGCAATTGTCCAGACACTTGTCGATGAGCATATTCTGGAAAATACCTACATTATATTTGCAAGGTACGTACAATGAACGCATCAAACTTGCTATTATCTTCTTGCAACCAATTTCTGTAGCAGTTACAGACAGATCAGCCATTCGCAAGTACTGGAGAGTTTTACTAGAATAGTCACATGTTCACTCCAGCTAAACAAAAATAGAATGCCCAAATTCCGTACCCTCATCAGACAGCACTTCAGTATCTCCCAGTTAACAAAGTCACAGTCCCCACTTCCGCTGCATAGCTCGCTGAGCATCCCATTGCTTTGTAAGTTGCTAATCCTTTCCCACTTTGTGTACATGCTCTTCATTTTCTTTTTTCTCTTCTTCCGTGGTTGGTCTCAACCTCTCCTCAATTCAATTGGCTGTCTTGACATGCCACGAGGTGCAGAAATAAATAAATAAATAGTAGAAACACTCTTTTCGAGCCATAACAGTTCAAATGACCCAGACATGTCCGTCTGCTTGTTTTGCATCGTGTAACAGCTGGCCTAGTATCCAGCCAGAGGATAAAATCATGTACCGTATTTTTCCGGTTGTCAGTCGACCTTTTTTACGACTAAGAATAGAAGGAGAAAGGGTGGGGGTCGACTTACAACCGGGATTCGACTTATAACCGGGAAATATCATTATCATTTCTTACAAAAAATGACCTGCACTGCTTGCACGAGTGCACCATGTGTACACATTTTTGCCAGTTTTTTGGCCTTTTTCAAGGATTGGGGCGTTATACGCTCCAATAAGGAATGTTTACCGGTACATGATTTGTTGTTGAGTTAGTAGCAGGGAGTGGTTAATAGCGCTTCTTTGGGTGAAAACTTTAAAACGCAGAATTGAGACCTCCGGATACGGGGTCGACCTATAACCGGGATCAACTTACAACCGGTTAAATACAGTACACTGATCGCTGCCGCTGTGTTGGATGCTGCTGCATACTCTCTCTCTCTCTCTCTCTCTCTCTCTCTCTCTCTCTCTCTCTCTCTCTCTCTCTCTCTCTCTCTCTCTCTCTCTCTCTCTCTCTCTCTCTCTCTCTCTATCTGGCTCTGTGCAGTGATCATGGCTTCCAGATGGGTCAGTTCTGCATTGGATTCGACAAGCGGCAGCCGTACGAACACGACATACGCATACCGTTGATGATACGCGGCCCGGGCATAGCGAAGAACGTGACCCTGCACGACATTGCTCTGAACATAGACATTGCGCCGACGATAGTGGCACTGAGCGGACAGACGCCACCACCGCACATGGACGGACGCAGTCTTACCGACCTACTCTTCCCTACGCCGAGCACAGCAAAGGATGTAGATGATGCTGGCCCAACAGATCCGGCAGCAGCCTGGAGAGATGACTTCCTGATTGACTATCATGGTGAAGGTAGGGGTGTAGCATTGTAGGCAAGACAGTCAGTATTGGCAGACTGCTGCTGCTACTGTAGTCTGTAGGGATTGAACTGAGTGTGTCTACAAACCCTGCAATGATGCTTTGTTTGTTAGGTCTCCACCAGGCCTTGTTTCCTTGAAGTTGTTTCCTTGATGTTTGATTTCTCTGCTCAAATCAGATGACCACGCTCGGCAAGTGGCTTGTTTTCTTTACAGAAAGGAGGTGGTGGAGGGGGAGGGGGGGGGGGGGTGTCTGTTACAAATAACACAATAGAGCTGTAAGTCAAGGGCTGTCCTGCATTAGGATCTTAAAACACCAAGGTTCCCAAGGCAGTCAACACCTCTGTCAACACCACTGTCGCAGTGTGTAATATTGTATAGACACCTGTTCTGTAGTTGCTCAGTGTGGTGATCAGGGAGTAATAGTGTAATACAGTAATAATGCAGTCACTGCGGCACTATGCCTTTCTGGTGGCAATTTCCTACTACGGTTATACTAGTACTTTGATGTTTGTGTGTGTGTGTGTGTGTGTGCGTGTGTGTGTGTGTGTGTGTGTGTGTGTGTGTGTGTGTGTGTGTGTGTGTGTGTGCATGCGCTTGCCTGCATGTACATGTATGTGCTTTGTTTTTGGTGTGACTGATCACATGCAGGTCGATCACCGTGTTGGCTTGTTCAGTGTCCAGCTCCAGCCGCCGACAGGTTTCATTCCATAGACTCTTTTAACAACACGTACACATGTTTGCGCACTTTAAGCAGCGCCGAAAATAGCCTCTACTGCGAGTTCACGATGACTGGATTCGCGGAGTACTTTGATCTCACGGCGGATCCCTGGCAGCTGACCAACACTGCCAAGACAGTCAGTCCTGCCCTGCTCAAGCAGAGGCAAGCTCGCCTGGCCTACCTGCGCAAGTGCTCCGGAGCACAATGCCATCTACCATCCACGACGACAAGGGAGCAGCTTGTCATTGATTGATTCGGGTTGATTGACTGATTGAGACTGACTTCACAAAGCTGTTGTCTGTGGCACATTGCTAGCATCAGCATACATTGTTGAGGACTCAGTGCAAGGCGTTAAGAACATGTTTCTTAGGTGTAACTTAAATTTCCGTATTTTTTAGGTAGAGAAACCAGGCATCTAAATATAGAGAATACCCGGGCCAGGCATCTAAATATAGAGAATACCCGGGCCAGGCATCTAAATATAGAGAATACCCGAGTAGATAGCACTAGGATATGCACTATGTGTGGAGGGAATGCTGGTCACCTATTTTTCTTTTCAATTTAGGTGGGTTTCAGGCATTACTGTTAAGAAATACCTGAAAACCCAGCTAATGTTTTAGAAGTAACAGCGTAAATCTGTCGCCATGGTCACCGGCGTGTGCAGTGGTGTGGTCCCTGACATCAACATTTTGCTAAAAATGACATATTCGACTGCGGTGCTTTGTACAACAAGAGGCATAGTACGTCACAAGTTCAGTTCAACACCATCTAAAAATTAATAATATTATTGTTTTTCACCCTGTTCTATGATTCTTGCGGCATGCTGTGCAAATGAGTGTACTTCAAGTACATCTAGACACATCTATAGTACGTGAGTGTACATCTAGACACATCTATAGTACGTGCGGGGCTTCCAACAGTAAGTTACTCTGTGCGTTTAAGTTATAATTGTTGATGAGGATGAGTGGTCCCTGATTTGAGCTCACCACTATCACCACCAGCACCACCTCCACCTCCGCCCCGTCCCCACTCACTAATCCACATGATGAAGCTCCGAGGCCGCTAGATCAATACGTGGGTTTGCCAGAGGAGTTGACTGGACCTCTTCTGGTTCCCCACGCAATATCAATACAGTGTGTAAAAGCCACACTATGGCAGAATAGTAATTATCACTACATAACATGTTAGCAGTACAATCATGCGGGCAGAGTGCCTAGTAATGTTCCTCCATGCACAACTGACTGGCCAGAAGATCAGAGTAACAGTAATGTTCCAATGGGCTCTCAGTAGCAGGATTCAAGCTTGCAAAGCCTCGGATCCGAACCCCAAATACACCTCCTGACCCGGCGACCCAATCACTTGAGTGCTGAAGCTGAAGCTCAGTAGGCAAAGAAGACAAGTCTTGTACCTGAAACATGAGTGTACTGCTGCTGCCTTCAGCTGTATAGCATACTGTAACGGTTACTTCGTTGAAGCCGCGTGACTACTCAAACTGTATCATATTCTCGGATGCATTGGTTGATTCTTAGAGACTGAAAAGAAAGTCTACATCCCTTATCCAAGTAGACCGGCTTGGAATTCTATTGTCCCGGTCTCTCTACCTGTCTATACATATACATGTACAGGTCTGCATCTGGTTAGGAGGAGCATAATTTCAACATTGAATCAAATCCATGTGTACTAGAACAGTGGCATGAGATCCCCGGGATATGAGCCGCAGAGCTAAGAATGGACCTATTGACTCTCTGCAACCATGCTCAACGAAATCTGGTGTCACAAGTCGAACATTAGTGGTCTGCACCAATGCAGAGTGCAACTAACAGGGATCCTGTCTCAGGTTCAAGTTGCAGGGCCGGGTCTGCGCAGTACCAACCAGCGCCAACTGATTCACAGCGCCTGGATTTCGTGGAGAAGACGGTCAAGCGTAGAACGGCAACAGGCCATGCCCGAGTCACGGTCCTACTCTCAACTGCACTACAGTAGTAATGTGTCCGCATTTCAATCTAGCCATTGGCCATGTTTATCATGGGACTGCTGTCGGTGTAGGCACGGGAGACAGTGAGCGGCACCAAAGTTAGCACGGGGGAATCCCCCGGCGGGAATCCCTTGCAGGCCGCACATCATAGCATTCACGTGTAGCAGAACACATTGTACTGCACGGAATTTCTTCGGTCTGTAGATGTCACCTGTGATTCGACGTCTTCACATTGCTCCGAGTTTCACTTCCCGTGTTCTGCTGCTGGTGACCGTGTTCACACGGTCGTGGGTCATTCCGCACTGGGACCATGTCCTCGATGCCAGCCCTGGCTGGTATAATGCCAAAGTTCTGAGCCATCAGGGCAAAGACGAACAGACCAAAGCCCACCGTACCAAGGAGGATGACATAGAACTTGTGAACGTGTCCACGCACCACATCAGGGTCTGTTGTGGTCGGTGTGAAAGCTCTGTAGTAGAGACTCGAGTCTGTTAGCTTGACGAAGACCAGGAAGGCAACGCTGAGCAAGGAGGATAGGCCCATGGTGGAGTAAACCAGACCTACGCAGGTGCCCTTCAAGCTCGGCGGCGCGTGTAGGTAGGCAAAGTCAAGCACTGTATTAACAGAACATACATAAACACCGTATAAACACCGTATAAACAATATTAGTGCCGCAGACATATTCATGCAACATGTCACCGTGTTTGACATGTAACCATGGTAACTTTCTTCTACTAGTGCACAAGACTGGCAAGCAAGGCCAGCACAACACACAGCAAATTCCTACAGGACTTTTGCCCTCAATGTTTTCCATCAGCTTGCTCATGAATCAAACTGTAACCAGTTTTGTTTTGATCTTGCTTTTCAGTTTCCCATGCAGACGTGTGCTCAAGTGAAAGATCTGATCTGCATCAGGCATGCTTTCATGCAAGCTGTGCATCACTCTGTAGTGTGTGAGTGAACACTGCACAGAATGCAATGATTGGGGCTGATACTATCCGCATTTCTGTCCAGGGGCCAGCGACCTTTTCTCGCTGGGAACAACCTAGAACCCCCCCCCCTCCACACACACACACACACAAACACACACACACACACACACACACACACACACACACACACACACACACACACACACACAACCCGTCAGGGCCTACATCTGCACGAGAGAATCGATATGGGCGTCAGTTGTACTCACCTGAGACTACAACGAGGACCTCTGCAATCCCTGAAAACAAGTACTGCGGTATTTGGTAGAAAATCGATAAGCGAGAGATCGGCAGAGTCCGGTCGGGCGAAGACGTGGTGGTGAAGTTCTTGAAGTCCCAATTGTCGTCTTGCCGCCGCTTCACCTCCACTATATAGGCCATGGCAACCGATAAGACAGCGAACATCATTCCGACACCAATCCACTTCAGCTGACTGATAGGCACACCTGAGGCAAGCAAACACACGACAGCAGTTTCAAAATTGCAGGACGAGCTGAAACGACATGTGTAACGGCTTTCTTGTAAAAAAATGTGGAAATAATGTGGAGAAACGAAAGAATGTGATAGACAATCATGAAATACAGCAGTAACCACAACTTGAAGTGCATGCGTGGCCATGCCCATTTCAGTACAACGTTGCATCCAGGATATCCATGCAGTGCAAGAAGCCTACATTGCCTATTGGCACACATCCTACATTGCCTATTGGCACACGTCCAACATTGCCTATTGGAACACGTCCTACATTGCCTATTGGCACACGTTTCTTGGCCACTTCCAGTTCAGTGCATGCATCAACACCCGAGTATGATTTTATACGTATGCCGCTCATGACCAACCTTGGGACAATCGCTTCCAGATCGGATAAACAAGATATTGCATGAGTGGAATGGTCAACAGAATGGTGAGAGGATTGACGGCTGTGAAGACCGATGCTGGGATAAAGATGGTCCTGGGCGCGGAGTCCTCATTGCCATCCTGGCGCCATTGCAGGCTGCAGAAGTTGTCATTGCGAAACACTGGTGCATCCTCATGGCGGACAGGAAGGCTCATTAGGTTTCCCTGCGTGGTGTATGTGGTCATATCCTTCAGGAGTGGCGCATTTACGTGGACATGTGCACACAAGACAAGCACAAGACATGCATGGTACTTCGAAGTACACACAGATATTGAAGAAGTTGGAAAGCGTTTCTCAAGAACAGTTACCGGTAGCATCCCCACCACTACCCATAATAGCCGCTGAATTACGGTAAGGTGCATGAGCGGCTACAGTGGGACTTCAGTTTTACAAGATTAACTCATATCTACGTGTCCCTTCTCCTTTCTACCTCTAAAATATTGCCTCTGAGTATCGATTGTTGTACATTGTATTGTGATGTTTCTATGATAATACTACAGTATCTTCTTTTGACAAATTATTTCCTTAGTTTGAGGGAATGGAAAGGGAAAAGTCTGGAGAAGCAAATGACTGTCATCACCAGGACAAACCAGGGACCTTCGCTATGGGCCATCGGGGCTCTAACCACCTAGCTATGGTGTGTCGTCATCCACTGAGCAGAGTGAGAGACCGTTCACAGTGCTGCTGCCAACCTTCCCTATTTTTCCGTATTTGTACGGAAAATCACTCCTCCGTCCGCAGTACGGAGTTTGAGCAAGATGGCACGTGAAACTGAAGAAGAGGACTGATCAGCTACAGATATAATTACTTCGAAGTATATGATATGTACTGAAGTACTAGTCAGAACAACAGATGGCTTGATCAGTCACAACTAAAAGTGTCATGCCATCTCAGGCACTCATCAGGTGATATGAACATCAAGAAAAATAACCCACTATTTAAAGCCCAGCATGGCGGGACAAGGATAACAGAAAGCGCCAGGGGCGCTATCAACTCATATCCGATTCAGTGCCATAGCCAGTAAGGATCGCTGTACTAAGAAAGGTGATAAAGGTGATAAAACGGTACAACTGAGCTGGCACAGCTAGCGAGATGCGCGGTGCAAAGATGATGATGGTGACAAGGCGGCAGAGGGCTATCAACTGGCCCTACTGCCTGGAAGCAGGGTGCCGAGAAGATCATGTTATTGGTGTTGATAGCATGAATTTATTTTGATGTCGACATTTAGATATCAACTCCGACCGCCTGTTGAGGCTCGATCTCCTGTCGGCAGTGATTATGCTCGCCTTCTCCTCGAGGCACAGGCTGCATCTTTTCGTTATGTTGCTGTAGGCCTTGGCCTTCTGAACCACTCGCCACTTGATGTCGTGCGTCTTGCCATTATCTTTCAATTCCCACACATGCTTTGAGAGGCCCGTAGATTTGCGGTATCCAGGAAGCTTGGTGGATGTCTTGTGATTCCCGTATCGAAGCTTGAATGGAGGCTCCGTACTGCCAATGTAGGTCTTGGGCCCATCGCTGTGGCCATCACTCGACACCTCCGCCGCGTAGACGACTATGTTGGTTGCTTGGCACGCTCTGTTGAGAGGGCACTGGTCCTTGCGACGGCAGTTGCACGGCTTGTCCGGTTCCTGGACGCACAATTGACGCTTATTGTGGCCACTGAAAATGTGGGCCATATTCGGTAAACAGGAGTAGCTCACCTTCACGTTGAAGCGGTTGAAGATTTTGTTCACTTTGGACCCCTTAGGAAAATGCTTGTCGATCAGCCGCAGGAAGGTGCCGGCGATGTTGGTCCAGACATTCTTGGAGTATGGCGGGTTAAACCACACCACATTCGGTTTCCTTTTTCTTTTTTGCTTGCTGCCGTTCATTGCAGCAGGTGGCGTTGGGTCAATATACTTGATGTTGGCAGGTAATCCGCTGGCCGTTAATGCATTGCGATATGTAGGGGCAGCATCAGCGAATACACCGCTGTCGGCAGATATGCTTGAGACACGTCGAGCGATCATATCAGGGATGTTCCGTAGTATGGATGTTGATGTTCATATCACCTGATGAGTGCCTGAGATGGCATGAAACTTTAAGTTGTGACTGATCAAGCCATCTGTTGTTCTGACTAGTGTGTCACGGCTCTACCTTCCCGGTATCGAGCTCTCTTGGATTTCTGCTGGAATTCACAACAGTGTGATATGCACTGAAGTATGTAGAATAGGGGTGAAACGAACGTCTCAAATTCCCCAAAGAAAGTTCTTTTCGTTAACAAACGAAGCTTCCGAATGATTCTTTACATCGACAAAATCCCACAAACTATTTTTCCGTACATCAACCCACACAAATCAACAAACGCGACATGATTGCTATGTTGTGGTCTTAATTTTCTAGGAAAATCAAGGACCACCTGTGATGATATTGGAACTATATCATTTGGTGCCATTAAATATCCCTATACATATACATATACAGTAACTATAACCTTCACATCCTCATATTTACACCTGTCCATATATGACATTAGAATAGCATGCTGCGTACTACTTCCCGTACTACCGGTACCTTTTCTAGTACTCACATATTGTACAACTTTACACACCAAGATAAAATAACAAGGATGACAGCCCTTCAGGGTTAGTTGTCGGTTAGCCGGACAAGAGTGGGTTGTTGGTGTGTCCTCCCCTAGGCCCTTCACATGGTGTCAGAAGTGGTCCAGTCACTGTGTGTCAGTACTGCGTACCTCCGTCGTTGCTGAAAGTTTGCGTAATTTTATTTCTAGTTTTTCGTTTTTTCGAGTTCGTGGGGCCGCAAGTGAGCTAGCCATGGATCTCGAGTCGTTGGCGTTTGCTCGCCACGAGCAGTTGAGGGACATCTGCCGGGGGCTGCATCTCCCCACCGGTGGTGCACGCTCTGATCTTGTGCGGCGGATCCTCTCCGTATCGCACAGCAGTGCGCGGATGGATCGGGAGATCGACACTGAGTTCGAGGAGGTGGCCCCGGATGATGACGAGCTCACTGGCTTACCTGATGCTGCTACCAGGTCGACGCTCCCTTCTCCACCCATGGATTTGTTTCGTCCCGCACCGTCTCCGAAACCTCGCTTGCCGAAAGTAAGTGATAATCCTTATTTCGGCAAAAGTATTGTGAGCAACAAATTAGATTACAACAGTGAGCAGTCTGTAACGGAATCACAGCCATTCCGTTCCCCGGGACGCAGGACACAAAGGACAAGACTAGTTTGGTTTACATAATTATTATTGACATTACGGAAATGGAGACAACACTCCAAGGGACGAACCAGAAGACTGACAAAAGGACTCTCGACTACAAAATCGCGCATGCTCATATCACACATGCACGCGACTAGACGAGACAGTTTGGGGAATGCCATCACACAGGAAAACAACACATCATTTTACAACACCTGCCCCCTTGATGACATTCCACAAAATAATAAACCGACACCACGTTCCACATGCACAAACAGCAAAAGGAACCACAGCAAAACAGAAAAACCAAAACCAACCAAAAGCTTACATTGTAGCACAACAAAACTGGGCCACGACACAGGGCAAAACAAAGACACAAGAGCCGACGCTCTCAACCAAGCCGCGCCACAGGGCCAAACCAAAAAACACAAGAGCCGACGCTCTAAGCTCAGGCACACAAGGCCAACCGAAACACGAGAGCCAAAGCTCCAACAAATAACAACATGCGCGCAGCAAAATAAATCTACAACGCAAATTAATGCAGAACAGAACGACGAGAAGAGCAACATACCGACAACCAAACTCAACAACACAGCAACCAACTGATCAGCGAGAGAAACACGATCAGACAACACAGCGAGCAAAACAACAACAAGACGAACAACAAAGGACGACACACAGTCGGTGATGCCAGACTCATCCACTGGCCTCTGGCGAGCCACGGCCACACGCTCCATGCGGTACCTGCCGTCCCAGGCTCCAGTCCCCAGCTTCTGCCGGTCCACCACCTTCTCTGCCTCCTCTCCGCGTCGTCTTCCGCTTCCACCAGCTCCTCATCTCTCCTGATCACCTCCATCCCCACGCTTACTATTATTTGTTGACGACGACGAACAGACTCATGACAAACTTACTCATCCTCTGCGTCCCGGGTTTCGGCACCACGTTGTAACGGAATCACAGCCATTCCGTTCCCCGGGACGCAGGACACAAAGGACAAGACTAGTTTGGTTTACATAATTATTATTGACATTACGGAAATGGAGACAACACTCCAAGGGACGAACCAGAAGACTGACAAAAGGACTCTCGACTACAAAATCGCGCATGCTCATATCACACATGCACGCGACTAGACGAGACAGTTTGGGGAATGCCATCACACAGGAAAACAACACATCATTTTACAACAAGTCCTTTGCAATGAACCAGTCGCAGTTTCAGGCCAATCAGGGTTCTGCTCCTACTACTACTACTACTAGTACTTACCATACGCATGACGCACCTGCACTGGCTGCCGCTAGCCGTCGTACTCGTACTGGGCGTACACATAGCCATACTAAGGTTGCATGCTCTACTCCGGAGCCAAAAGCGGTCCACGTCCACCGTCAGCCCGTACATGTCGCTTTTGGTGAGGATCCCGTGTATGGAGACCCTAGGCCTAGTACTAGTAGTAGTACGCACGAACTGAGTGATCAGGCGCAGGCCAGCACTAGTCGTACACGTACACGTACACCCGCAGGTCCGCATGCCCCGCACGTGCACATCGATCCTGCTGCTGAGAACCCTGAGCCTGAGCCTGAGGCTGAGGCTGAACACGAACAGCGTTCCGCCACCGATGTCGATGTCGATGTCGATGTCGACTCGCCGTCCCAGCTGTCGATGCTCACGCAGTTGGTCACGCAAATGGCGCAAGTGCAACTCACTCAGGCCACACGGCGATTCTCTCAGAAGGTGCCACTGGCTAAACTGCGCCCTGGGGACGATGTTGAGGCATTCCTCACCAGTTTCGAACGATCCATGCGGGCGTACAGAGTTCCTCCGGACGATTGGGTCTATTTGCTAAGCCCCCAGCTGACTGACAAGGCCTTGTTGGCATACACGGAACTTGCCTCCACTGAGGCTGACAGCTACGACCGCGTGAAGGAGGCCATTCTCCATCGCTATGCCGTTACCCCCGAAACGAGCCGCCGTAAATTTCGGGGCAC